AATTGCATGTCGAGAAACAAAGTGGATGCATAGATTTTGCAATGAGAAAGGTATAGAGCATGAGATTATTTCATCCTATACACTTCAGCATAATGGCATATATGAGAGGAAGAATCGAAGTATACTGAACATGACTAGGAGCGTGTTGAAAGCTAAAGATATGCCAAAGAGATTTTGGGGGTGAAGGAGTTTCTACAACAGTATACATTTTAAACAGATGGCCAACCAAGAAGATAGTCGAGAGGACTCTTTATGAGGCTTGGAAAGGTGTGAAGTCGAATATTAATCATCTTAGAGTGTTTGGATCAATGTAATTCAGACATGTACCTAAACAATTGAGGAAAAAACTAGATTATCAAAGTCAGGCTATGATGCTCATAGGTTATCATTCGATCATTGCATACAAGTTGTATTCACCAAATATTGATAAAATTCTGACCAGACAAGATGTTCTAGTGGATGAAAGCAAAGGGTGGGATTAGAGTCATGGGTTAGTTCAACAGGAGTCAGATATAATTATAACTGTGTTTGAATAAGACCAATAAACTGAAATCACAACCAATCGACACAAAGAAACACCTGAGCATAATGTTAGGAGATCAACTAGAGCAAGAACTGAGCTGGCAAGGCTAATTGGATATAAGAGAATTCCAAATCAAGCATTCGATGCAGATGATGACTTAATATAAAAAGCAATGATGATGGATGAAGCATAACCGATCAATTTGGATCAAGCCATGAATTATTCGAATTGGTTAGAAACCATGAAAGAAGAACTCAAGGAAATCAAGAAGAAAAAGACCCAAGAGCTTATTGAAGAGTCAATCAAGAAGCTAATTGATGTGAAGTGGGTTTACAGGATGAAACAAAGACCAAATGGTGAAATTTCCAAGCATAAAGCAAGACTAGTGGCGAGATGTTTTCTGCAAAAACCTAGTATTGATTTTGACGAAGTGTATGCCCCTGTGGCAAGGCTAGAAACCATCAAAATTATTGTGTCAACAATAACATACAAAGGGTGAAAGATATATCAGTTTTATGTATAATCAGCATTTTTAAATGGACTTTTGGATGAAGAAGTATATGTCAGTCAACAACCAAGATTAAAATCAAAGGGTAGAAGTCGAAGTTGTACAGATTAAGGAAGATTCTATATGGTTTGAAATAAGCCGCAAAAGCTTAGAATAAGAGAATGGACAACTTCTTGATCGAAGCAAGTTTCACAAAGTGTGTCTCTAAACATGGAGTGTATGTTAATGACGCATACAAAAATCAGTTGAATCATATTATGTCTGAATGTAGATGACTTGATGATTACAAGTGCAAATGAAGCAAAGATGAGAAGAGTCAATTCTAAGATAATACAAGAGTTTGAAATATATAACCTAGGGAACTTGTCATATTTCTTAGGGATAGAGTTCAAAGACACGGGTGAAGGAGTGTTCTTGCACAAGAAGAAGTATGCCCAATATATCTTGAAGAAGTTCAAGATGAGAAACTGTAATGCAAATGCTAGGCTATTAAAAACTAGAGTAAGGTTGAGGAAAAATACAAATGATGAGTTTGTGAGTGCAACATTGTACAAACAAATCATTGGATCCTTGAGGTATCTTTGCAATACTAGACCAAATATTTGTCAAAGTGTCATATTGTTGAGCAGATTCATGGAGAAACCTCCAAGAATGTCATCTAAAAGCAGTTAAGAGGGTGCTAAGATACATCAAAGGTGTGATTGATCATAGTGTGTTATGCCTAAGAAAAATTAGACCAACACATATGTTGAGGTATATGGCTACACTGATTTTAAATTTCAGCGGAAATCAAAACAAGAAGAAGAGTATTATAGGCTACATATTCATGATCGAAGACACTCCAATCTCATAGAGCTCAAGGAAGCAAAGCAATGTGGCTTTGTCATCTTGTGAAGCGGAGTACATGGTTGCATCAAATGCAACACGTAAAGCAACATGGATAAAGATGATGCTTAAAGAGCTCAAGATAATGAAACTTGAGAAAATAAAGTTGTTTATCGGTAATAAGTCATCAATCGACCTGGAGAATCATCTAGTGTGTCATGTTGAAGTAAGCATATAGAAATGAGATATAATTTCCTGAGGGATCAAGTTAACAAAGAAAAGCTTAAACTTGTGCGTTGCAAGACAGGATGACAAATAACCGACATACTCACCAAGCCCTTGAAGAAAGTTAGGTTCGACGAGTTGAAGAGAAGCATCCAAATTAAAAGTCTCGAGAGCATGAATTAAGGGGTGTGTTTGAAGTTGTAATTCGATGTTATGTCAAAAGCTAGCATTCGACTATGTCTAAGTAGCTAGTCGAAGGTGTAGGATTCAGTTGTATTCGACTGAGTCAAATACAACATTTAAGTTATTGTGTCAAAGCCAAAATATAACTTGTATATTTTAGACTTGAATTGATTTGTATAGTTTTGGGTCTGAGCTTTAGTTGCCTGTATAAAGAGTATAATATGATGTAAATAAGAACTTCACTCAATATAAATCCTAATTTTCAGCAATTTAATTTCTATCTATTTTCTCTCTTCTTTTTTTATTCTCTCGTCTTTCTTGAAAACTCTTTTATTCTAATAATAGCACAATAGTTCACATATTTAAAAATTGGAATGATCATTTATATTAATTTAACCACTATTTTTTATATTAAAAAAAAGGTAATAAGCTTTTTCACTTTAGTATATACAAAAGATAAGACATAATAGTAAGAAAACTCATTCTCAAATATAAATAGATAATATATTGATGATAAAAAAATAAAATCTATATACAAATATAAAAAATACTCCCTTAAATCTATGTTATATTTAAATTTATATCAATTAATTTTTTAGATTTAATCTAAAATATAAGACAAACTAACTAAATTGCTAATATTTTTGAAATAAATAAAAAATATAGTTAAAATAATAGTATTAAATAAGTCAAAAGTAGTTATTTTTATTTATAATAATGACTAAAATTCGAAGGTTTTTGTGTGCGTGCATAAGTTTTTTTATGTTGTCAATTTACCATATTTTAAGCATCTTTATTTTATATTAAAAGTGATTAAGAGCATGAAAAGACTATATATATATATATATATATATATATATATATATATATATATATATATATATATATATATATATATATATATATATATATATATATATATATATATATATATATATATATATATATATATATATATATATATATATATATATATATATATATATATATATATATATATATATATATATATATATATATATATATATATATATATATAGCATGTCTAGCTCAGCTCAAGCACTTTGATGTGTTTAGCTCAACTTCGACATTCATTCTATTTTTAGTTTTAACTTAAATGAGATACACCAAAATCTTTCTCAAAATGAAGCTCCTGTTAGGGTTTCCCTATGGCGTGTTATGTGCCCGACACGAATGAGTGACATGATATGCATATGCTTATCTCCACGTCTCGATACAAAAGAGTGATATAAGTTGCTTGTGCTCAAATCCACTCTCATGTATAGATGACTTGTATGGACCTTAGAAGTAAAACCTAATAGGTTCGAACATCCCAGAAAGGAGCTCATTAGGTCAAAACGAGGTGGACTATAAAAGATATTACTTAAGAGAAAATTGAGGTTGGAAGATTGGGAGGAACATTGTATTTTATCATTAGTAATTTTCTTAGAGGACTTTTTGTATTCTACCTAAGGTTTTTTATTGAGTAGTGCATCCATAGAACTATTTTATGTTTACATATGTGAACATTGGCGCCCATCGTGGAGGCTACGGTAAAAGTTTCTAACGACCTAACTTTATTTTCTACTCACATACCACCATGACACCACATAGGCAAACCTAAATTTCTTCTGATTTTATTCTTAATGATGATTCAAATTCCTAACTAGCTCAGCTTATGGTGGATGTACATGAGTTTCAAGAGCGAAATATGGAGCAAAAACTGCGAAACGAGGAGCAACAATGTCAATTTGTATTTTATTTAAAAAGTAAAATATATTTCTCTTCTAATTATTATTAATCATTTTATCTATAAAATTATTATTCAAACAGACATAAAAAATGTATTTCCATTCTAATCAGTACTATTAATATATGTTGTAAAAGTGTTTTTTTTTTACTATAACATAGTTTTTTATTGTTTATCTTTTTTTTCTCATGTAATTTCAATATATTAAAAACTTGTAGCAACAATAGTTCACATATTTGAAAATTGTAACAACCATTTGTATTAATTTAAGGACGAGGCTTTTGGAATGGGAAATTTATCATCTTTGAGAAAATGATTTAGAGGTTTGTAATCAATTACTAGCCTCTTTTTTCCCCTCAACTTTTCAGATCTCTTTTCCACATAGAATGCTTGGCAAGCCCATTATGATTTGGTGGGTTCTATTAGACCTTGTTTGAGCAGTTAGTTGCATTCTTCCCTAGCTAATGCGTAATCTGATGGACTCATCCTTGGATGAGTCGCCTTGGTTGGATTAACATCTTCATTGAGCTTGAAGGGAAGTTGAATGAATAAGTCTTTATTCTTCCATAGAGGTTTTGGGTGGCAGAATTTTTCATGGTTGTCTGCACATAGTCTGAGAAGGTTGGACTTGATCTCTTCGTAGCTAGCAGGAATCTTAGAAAGTGAATATAGTTTTAGTATCCCAGAATAAGGTTTGAATTCTCTTTTGAATTTGATTCCTATGGGGAGAATTTGAAGTTTAGTTTCTGTTGAATAGACATCCATTCCTATTACAGTATATTTGTTTGGAAGATTACTGCCAATGACCTTGGTCTAGACTATGCAGTCTGGGAAGAATTTAATTTCTATTTTCTCCTTGGTCATTAAATTTGTCTTGAAAACTTTTCCATCCGCTGCTACAAAGTATGCGGCATGTGTCACCCATGATTCTGCGGGGAGAATGTTGGGATTCATCATTGTAATCTGGGCCCTAGTGTCCATATAAGCTATAACTTTCTTCGGACGGGAAAACTTTGTTGCGAGGATATGGACTTCAACATAAGGAAGTGGTATAGTAGGAAGGAGTAAACCGGGAGATATCTGTCATCTTCTGACTCCGAAAATGATGCTTCATTAGATGAAGAGTCTTGAAAGGCAAAAATTGTTTCTTCATCAGCAAAGCTTTGTTCAGAATACAAAGATTTTAAGTCTCCTTCTAGAGGCTGAAGAGAGTTAATCAGTTTTGCGGCTTTATGGGTGTTATTAGGACATTCTTTTGAGAAATGCGCTTTTTTCCCACAAATAAAGCATCTTTGATTTTCCCCCTTTCCTCTGAAATGCTTTCTTCTAAAGAACTTCATATTCTTTCTTTTCTTTCCCTTGAAGGTCATGTGAGATTTGATGTATTTTTTATGTTTCTTTTTTGTTGGACAACTACACCTTTTCTCTTTACACTTAATCTCCAGGTAGGGTTTCTTACATGCTTGGGTGAACTTTGACTTTTGTTCTATAACTTCAGAAAATTGATGATGAAAACGGCAAAGCTTTTCAAGTGCTTCTAATGTCACCTGGTGGATCTGGCCAAGACTCATGGTCTTAATATTCTTTTGAGTTATGGCTAACATTCTACGAATTTTTGGCTGAAGTTCTTGTGGTAGAGAGGATATATAGGTATTCTTGAGACTAGGGTCATTGTACCCATTAAGGACATAATACCTCTGTGCCATCCTATGATAGTGTTTGTCGAGGTCTTTTGTTTTGAGAAAACAACACTTCATCTCAAAAAATTCTTGTCTGTTTTTCCTATCAAATATTTCCATATCACCGATAAATTCTCAATGAAGAACCCCAAGAACACTAGATATAGTTTCTAGACGATGTAACTCATCTTGTTTGAAAGCTCCAAGATTGTGATACCATTCTTTCATCGTGCCCGTCATTCTACATCAAAATTCTTCAATGATCTTATAGCTATCTGCACTTGTTTTCATCATTTGGGTGTCAAGCCAAGCTCCAAATTCAAGTAGTCTTTTTTTCCAGCGGCTAGATGGTATATCATCAAAAGTGAACCAAGGACCTCCATTTGGTTTAGTCCTTTCAGGGACAAGAGTTTCTTCAAGGGATTCTTCTTCAAAAAAGGATTCTTCCTCTTTTACATTTTCCATGAAGAGTCTTGGGAAATAGTTATCTTCAGATTTTGATTTAGTTGAAAAAGATCTCAGTGTCTCATCAAAAGATAATTCTGGATTAGAGTTGTTGTCACCATTTGAGAAGGACTCGTCTCCCTTTTGTTTTGATGATTCAGAGTGATCTTTCCGAGGAGATTCATAATTTGTAGTGATTACCATAGCTTGGAAACCTTTATTAGGAATTTCTTCTTCTTTTTGGATTTTTGGAGGGGGTGTTTCAGGGATATCTTGAGAGTCCGAGGATGAAGCGCTCAAGCAGGCAGCTTTACCCATTGTCTTGGAGGTTGAGGTAGTGGTAGTTTTGGAAGATTTTGGTCTGTAAGTTGTAGGCATGTATTTAACCTGGTCTGATGCTGATGGAACATAGGTAGGGTAGAAAGGAGAAGGCCTTTCTAGTCATTTAAAATATGTGGGAAAAGTAGGAGGGTCTAAGAAAGAGTTTTCAACATGTTTGGGCTTTCTTTCATGAGAGGCTCTTAAGAAATCATCTATCTCTTTTACTTAGTTTTGTAAATGTTGCGGTGGAAATAGGATATCAAACTATTAATTAGTTCGAATCACAATTCTTAATTCACAACCGCTCTTTGATTTATCCGAAGGAAAAGGTCAAAAGAGGGAAAACCTATTTTTGCATCGTAAACACAATGCGGGGAGAGACCTAGGTAAGGGGTTGGTTAAGTTTAGGGAAGGTACTAGCACCCTAAACTTCTGTAGTACTCTACAGGAACCTTTTGTTTATTGTATGCTTTTTTATTTTATTATCTGTTTGATGTATATATTGAGCTAAGGGATAGAGTGACCTAAAGACCTAAGGGTTAGTACTAAGTTTACTCGGCAAGATTCGCATCTTGTGCCTACGTATCCTGGATAGGGAATGGAATCAGAGTAATCGTAGTTCCCCTCGAAAGGGAGGTTAGAAACGTCTTGACTATGGTCAAGGTTTCAATGGGGAATAAACGTATCTTAAGGACACGCTTACGTGGAGTCTTAAAACTCCCATTTCGACGTTGAATTTGTTAAATGAAATTAGGGTTAAATTAGGGATTCCACGGCGGGAAACCCTAAAATAGAGTACGGCGAATCTTTGACCTAAAAGTTAGGATAAAGAGCGTTTTCGTCCACGGCGAGATGCCTAGGTTAATAGGGTTTGAAAGGGTCAAAAATTAGGGTTATTGACTCGTCGGTCAAACAGCTAGACCTAATCCTTCGGAAGGGAAAATAACGGTAAGACATGCAAACATGGCAAAATATCGTACGACAGAATTAAAATGCAGAAAGTAAAGAAAGCGGTAAAGAAATTGTCGCGACGATCACTTGCGTAAATTACAAGTCCCAAAAAAATGCGAAAAATAAAATAACTGCGATCATGGCCTCGCATAAATTACATCCATGAAAAACAATACGCAAGAATAATAAATTGCGACGATGATTCACATAATTACAACCGAAAAAAATGAAAATACGATAAAATGCGAAATTAGTAACCAAGGACAAAAAAGGAGAAACAATGAAAGTTAGATGAAAATTAAATGGGAAAGGTTAGGAATTTTAGAAATTTTCTTAGGTGAGAAATTTAGTTTTAAGAAAGAAAAATTTAGGATTAAAGGAAAATTAATTTTAATTTTTATGTTTTAAAAGGTTAGCAATTTATTAAAAACTTTAATTTATTTTAAAAAAGATTTTTAATTTTGGGAGAAAAAGTTCATTTGGTTAATATTTTTAAAGAAATATTCTAATCAACTTTTAAAAAAGGTTCCTAATCACCTTTAAGAAAAGGTTTTTTTTTAAAAAGGTTTTAATTTTAACAAAGGGTTTTGATTTTTGAAACACAAAGACTTTCGATTTTTGAAACACAAAGGCTTTCGCTTTCATCCTCAAAAAAGGAAGTTTTAGTTTAAGAAAAGTTTTAATTTAAAAAAAGATTTTAATAAAAAAAGTTTTTAATAAAAAAAGGGTTTTAATAAAAAAAGGTTTTAATAAAAAAAGGATTTTAATTTTTGAAACACAAAGGATTTCGCTTTCATCCTCAAAAAAGAAAGTTTTTAGTTTAAGAAAGGTTTTAATTTAATCTAATTAAACTAAATTGCATCATTAGAGAAAAAAAGGAAAAGGCTTGACCAATTCTTTTCCTTCCACACGCGGCGCCGCTGCCTCCTTTGTTGCCTTCTTTGAAGCTTTTGTTTCTTCTCCTCCTGCTTCGCTTTTGTTGTTCATACCCGAAACCAAATAAAACAAAACCAAGCCCATTAATATCATAATCTTACGTTTTGAATTTTTGGTGACAGTGTTTCAACGGCGAGGTGATGAAGCTTCTTCTGAGACTTTTTGCTTGGTTGTTGTCCGCCGGTGGTAGTGAGGCTCCAAAGGGTCCACGGCCACCGTTGGATGATCCTTGTTGGTGGATCTTCTGAATTTTTCTCAAAAATCTCTGCTTCTTCTGATGACCTGTTCTTGATTTTCCGATGTTAATGAAGTTTTCTCCCCTTACTTATGTTTATATAGGTAACAAATTAGGGTTAACTCTAACCTAATGCCCATTTTAAAGCCCAACTTTATTTAATATTAGTTATAATTACAAAATTTTAAATAATTAAAATAAAATTAAAATAAAATAAAAATAAAATTGAAATTAATAACTCTATTTATTTATTATTATTTTTATAAAGAATTCTTATTATTTCTAATAAAAATCCTTTATTTTTCTTAAAACATTATTATTATTTTTTTATTTTTTTGATATGCAAATAATAATAAAAATTAAAACTTAGCATAAAAATGTATATAATGAAAATAATATTAAAGAAAAATGAAATTAATTTAAAATAAAAAATAGAAATGAAATGAAATTATTTAAAAATGAAATGAGACTAAAATTAAAAATGAAATAGAAATGAAATTGATTTTTCTTTAAACAATGAAACAATGATTGATTTAAAAATGAGATTAATTTAAAAAATTGATATATGATTGATTTTAAAAATGCAATGAAATTAATTTAAAAAACGAAATATGATGAATGAAAAAAATGACACATGATTGATGAAATTAATTTAAAATAGGAAATGAAAATTGAAATGAAAAACCCTTTTTCCTATTAATTCCTAGTTATTCCAATTTACCCTTCATGAACCAAAGAGCGCGCCACATGATATTTTCCTGCAAAAATCAACCAACTACACGAACTTGTTAGTGACTGGTTAAATGCAAAAATGCAACAGAATGCGAGATGATTCGACTAATCTTAGGCCAAAATTTGGGGTATTACAGTAGACTTCTGATTTCTCTTTCCTTTTGGTCAAATGTTTTACCAAAAGTTCTATCTTCTAACATCCACCGCAAATCCCGATCTAGCTGGGATACTTGGGCTTTCAAGCTTCTGTAATGTTTCTGCATTTTTTAGGATAAAACCTTGAGATCTTCATCTGTTTCGTCTATTTTTTCAGCAATCTTATCTACCTTTTTGTCAAGGTTTTGAAGAATTTCATTTAGAGAAACCATGTTTTCAGATTGCCAATTTAGAACTTCCTCAGCCTGAGTTAAAGGTTTAAGCTTCCCATCGGGCTGGACTTCACTCGGATGAATGAAGAGTTTAGATGTTCTGGATATGATTGGATCCATCTTTCCTTCTAAAGCAAGAAATTGTCGGTTGTACTCCAAAGTTGTGGTTGAATACATAAAGCAAGGAATTGGCTAAGAAACATATGGAGGATGTAGCGGTTTACAATGGTTTGTTGGTGACCATGTAATAAGATTCAGATCATCAGGTGGTAATAATCCTTCTCTCCTAAGGATTTTAAGTCCTTCCTCATAGATAGAGAGGGGTTTATTTTTTCCATGGATTCCTACCCATGGACCATTGTATGGATCAGATCTCCTTTGAGGAGGTGGCGAGGGTTTACACCTTCCCTTTTTCTTTGTTTTGGGAAGAATGATATCTCGATCAATATCATCGTCGTGCATTCAGCAGTCACAATCTGGGTCACATCTTGTTGGATCAACATCCCAAATGAAGTGGCCATCTATTTTATCGGTGTAGATGGGTTTTCCCTCTATTGTAATAGCATAGACGGGACACCAGTCTTTTTTGAGAACTGGTTGGATCATCATTGTCTAGAAGATCGGAGATATTGAGCTCAACCCTTCGTATGGCTTCTTAAAGATCGTCTTGATTGTCTTGTCAACGGATCTCCTAAAAGTAGCCTCTTGAGATTGGATAGGTATTTTGTTAACATGAAGTCTCTCGTAGTTGGTTATCCATTCAAGGGGAATTAGCTGAGTTAATTCTTTCCCTTGTGATCTTTCTTGGAAGCTGAATTATAGAGGGTATGTCTTCTTCTCTATTGGTGACAACCAATAGCGAACCAAAAGAGCATCCTGAGAAAGGAAGATCTATTGAGTGATTTTGTAAGCGGTATATTATCTGGTGATGGAGGATGGTTGACATAGTTTCTAGAACTTGGTCAGATCTGGTGATTTGGATATGTACTTTCAGTCTTGTGGATAAAGTATTATCATCAAGACTCACATTATAGTTTGGGAAGATGGTGAGGACAACACTTCCTGCATGAAGTGTAGTTAGAATAGTTCATATCACAACATTTTCATAGTGGATGTAGCTGGAGTCCAGTAGAACTATTTTGCAAAAGACAAGTTTGTTATTCCTTCCATGAATAGAAAGGATGAGTCTGACAACCCCAAAGTGTAAGGCTGTATATCCTTCAATTTTCTAGTGGTTTATGATATATTGGGGAATCTCCTAATCTACATACTGCTCCTGGTTTTTAGATCTTAGGCTGCATTGGTCTAGTCTAGATGACTGGACGTATTCTTTCACATGAATGTGATTTGTATAGATAATATTTCAGATGGATCTGGTAACACTTCTCTGTCTTTTGAAGATGTTGTACGGACTTAGTAGAGGAGGTATTGTTTCAGAAATTTGAGCATCTTCAGGAACATGAAGATGTTGTACGAACTTAACAGAGGAGGTATTGTTTCAGAAATTTGAGCATCTTCAGGAACATGAGAGTACTCAATAAGGTCTTCTGTTTTATGAGGATTAATCTTTTGATCTTTGACGTCTAGTGTTTTGGTGGATTGAATCAAAATGTTGATGGTACTTGGTTTTACAATTTTGCGGATAATATTGGATATTCTAACATCCTTCATGTTGAGCAAATGGAGTTCTATCATGGTTTGTATATGCCTTAAGAATTTGTAATCAAAGACGCCGTGTGTTATTTTGAATCTAACTTTACTATCAAGTTAATCTCAAAGTTCTTTAATATTTTGCATCATTATGTCGCGATCCTTCACAACATTAAAGATATTTTCTCTAGGGACTAGCAAGTTAAACTAATTCATACACTTAGAGATGGTAGTGTTTGTGCTGACTATCTAGGAAAGAATAAGGTTGGTAATCATGCAACTTATCATTCTTTTGCAAAGCCTTAAGCTAAAATTCCCACTCCATTGAAACTTTAATTTTTAGATAACTCTCCTTATTTATCTTTTTTATTCCTTTTTCCACCAGTACCAAAAATAATAATACTCCCTCAAATTAGTATTATGAATAAAAGTATCTACTTTTAGGGTGGTCAAGAAATGCATTTAAGGATGATTAATTTCCTAGATTTCATTTAAAATATAAGACAAACTTGCTAAATTGTCTTTGTTTATCAACTACATTCATTTAATGTTTTTGAGATAAATTAAAGAGATAATATAAAGAATAGTATTAAATAAGTTAAAAGTAGTTAATTTTACTTATAATAATGACTACATTTTGAAGCTTTTTTTTAAATATTGTAATCGGATGGAGTAAGTTTTTTCATGTTATCAACTTGCCATATTTTAAGCATCTTTCTTATATATTAAAATTGATTGAATGCGTGAACATACAAATGTGAGTGATTGAAAATAATAGTTGAGTAATATATATATATATATATATATATATATATATATATATATATATATATATATATATATATATATATATATATATATATATATATATATATATATATCAATCTGAAGACAAAAAAAAAATCTTAAAAGCAAACAACCCACTAAAACTCAAACCCTCTAAAACTCACGATGAGAAGCCATTCCATACAATCTTCTATTTTAAGCAACCTGGTTGGCAATGACAGTGTTGAAGGTGAGAAAATACTTAGAAGGGGGGTTGAATAAGTATGAAGATAAAATTTAGAAGTAAAAACACAAGTATTTTTATCCTGGTTCATTGAACTCAACTACACCAGTCCACCCTATATAGAGTGATTTGCCTTTCTCAAACAAGGACTGAATCCACTATTTAATCAACTGATTACAATAGTAAGCACTAAGAACAATTGTTCAAAGTCTTCTCAAAAACTACTAATCCTAACTGGATCTTCTTAAGGTTCTCTTACAATCAAATGTAATAATAATAAATACAAGTGTTAAAATGCTTATAATAAAGCTTTATCACAACTGTGATTTTTCACTTAAGATTAAGAACAATGAAATAATTCTAGCAAGAATATATGAGTTGTATGAGAGCTTTTTAATGAATTCTTTTCAAGTGTATTCGTCAACTAAAGAAGATGAGTGGAGACTTGCTTTTATAGGCACAGTGATCCAAGAGCTTTTCACGTTGAGAATAGTGTACCAAAAGGTCTGAGCCTTTTTGTCTTCACATCAAGTGACCTTTCCAAGAAGAAGAATGCACAGAGAAATCCTTTTTGTCTGTGTTCTTGTGTCTAGCATAAATAAGGAAAGAGTCGTTTGGATTATTCCAACGGACATAATCTTTGAATTCTTCTTCAACAATTTTCAGCAAGAATCATTAGAGTCTAAGTTAGTCAGAGCCTTCTGATGTTCATCAGAGTTTTGCTGAATCAGAGTCTTTGCAGCAAGTGTGCTTTCAGTGTGTATAAGTTCAGAGCAGAGTTTTGGGTCAGATCCTCAGTACTGGCAGCGTTAGTACTATCAGAGTCTTCTGAAGTAACTGTGCTTGAATAACTCTTCATACAGACTTCTTCATTGCTTCAGATGCTTCTGGCTTGCTTCAGATTCTTCTGTAGCTTCTGCTTCAGATCCATCTGGAGGCAGCGCTCAGAATCTTCTGGTGGCAGCGTTCAGAATCTTCTAAGATATGCTTCTGACGCTTCAATGTCTTGCATATTTCTTATGTTCAGATCTAATTTTCTTCTGGAGTGATATTTACTTTAACATCTGCAGCAAACATTCTCAAGCAAATTTTAGAGTATATAATTCTTCAATACAAAATTTCATAATAGTTATCATCAAAACATAGAGATATTATTAAGAACCAATCTGTGTTCTAACAAGTATTTAGTAGAGTCTCGGTAGGTGAAGTTCAAGGGATCTCATAAAATAAATCCTTAAATCTTGAAGTTCATGACAGTTGTGATACTTGTTATAGAGCTGAAGCTTTCTGACTCTAAGCACCTTCCCTTACTTTGGGAGGTTTTTGAACCAAAACTCATTTGTTAATGGTCATTCGTATATGTCCCAAAATGTACTTCCCTTTCATTTTTGAGTTCTCTTCTTACTCATCCTCTTTATAATTAAAGCAAATGTGTTAAACAAAATTTTGTTATCAAGTAATTATAGGGGAACCACATATTCCCTTCCTCCGTTTTTCCATCATGTGACATATAACCCTATTTTCCCTATTTTTTTAACTTTATTAACGGGTAACCAAGTGAAAACAGCATTGACTTTGGAGACTTATCGAGTTTTTTAATTTTCTTAGGATGAGAATACAAATTGCTACATAGTGAATGAGACGAGTATCTGGATGCACAAAGCTAACAATGAAAGGAAAAGGAAAACACAAAGTTAGATTTGATATGAGAGATTGAGAAGCAGCATCAAAATTAAACTTTTCACTTACCTCTGGCTCATCGGCTTATACATAGAGATAATGCAAGGAAGACCACAAATTTCAGCAAATTCTTCCAGAGTTAAAGAGATTTCTTACTAAAATACATCATAAGTGATAATTTCATCTATGCAGTTGAGATTGGAATAAAATATTTTTACCAAGTATGAAATATCTCTTCGAGAGTGTTGTAGGTGAAATCTTTCAATTTATCTTAGATAAATACATAAAAGAATTGATAGCTTCCAAACACATTCTCATCCACATAGTGGGTTGTAGTGAGATTTATGGTAGCATAATTTTTTTAGTTCTTGTCTTCTTGCTAATGAGGGGAGAATTCGCTAGAAAAGTAAGTTGGAGTAGAGGTAGTGCCATAGGTTTGAATTCTCTTGAGTGTCATTATAGAGATGATGATGAAAATACAAGAATATAATACAAAAACACTTGAGAACACAAGAACACAAAGAATAAGAGAGGAAAGAGATCGAAAGAAGAATTGACATGGGATGAGAAAAAGAGAAATTAGTTTACTTTTTTATAGGCATATTTTAACCTAGGTATAATTAATCTCAAAGTCCTTTAACTTTATTTAGTGTTTCGCTTTGGTCCTTTAATTAAAAAAGTTTATATAGTGGTCTCCTAAGAATTATCACATTATACAAAAAGGTCATTACCGTTATAAATTCTGAAAAAACGTTAGCTTTGGGTACGTGGCGTGATAGGTAGGCATAGTTAATAAGATGAGTTATCATATGGATTAAAAAATTCATTTTGTTTAAAT